CTTTAGACTGTCCACCGTACAGGCCTGTACGGCATTATCAAGCTCACGCTCCTATGAACACACACACACACACGGTAAGAGACATATCTAAAAGCAATACAGATGCCACCACTGATGTTAGTTTTGTTAGATGCAGATTAGTCAGACATTTCTATTTGTTTTTCTCTTTCTTTTTAACAATTTATTTTCAAATTTAGCCATTTTAGTTAAGGAATCAGTTGAGGAAACCAACAAAAGCTTGATACAAATACATCTGCATGCTCAAAGCAAGTCATGCATGGTCTAGTGCAGTAGTGCAGGCCTAACCACTTTCTGAAGTTCAGTGTCCAGCTCCTGTAGTCTGCTTGAGGAGCCCTCCAGTCTTTGGAGGTCAGACTTGATGTTTTTCAGTTCCTGTTGTTTCTTGGCCTGTATGTCTCTTTTCAGCTCAATGGTTCTCTCTAGACCAGTCTTCTTATCTCGGAGATCATCGATGCTTTGCTGCTTCTGTGCCTCTTTCTCCTGCATATCATGCTGAAAACAAATTAAGAAATTCTTACTAAAAAATGGCAACATGATAAAATATTAATATTGAACTTATAACTAATAAATAAAGTTTCATGACTATCTGATTTAAATCTTTTCCATGTTAACTTTCTGTTAAGCATTAAATAAATAAACAAACAAAAAAATATATAATATTATATAATTAGAGTTATTATAAAGTTTTACTCAAACCATACCATAGTTCGGTTGAGTGCCTCTGAGTCCTGGTCCAGTCTCTCTTTGACTTGTCTGTGGAAGCTCTGGAGCTGTCGCTCGTTAAGAGGGGCCCGGTCATAACCCTCCAACTCCAGGGAAGATGCTAAACTCTTGACCTGGGTGTCCCTCTTTTTAATGTTTTGTGTGTGCCTATCTGCCTCCAACTGCAGACGGCCTTCAAACGAACAAAAAATTGATGATAAACAGCTCTGAAAAATAAGAAACTTTGTATGTGCTGCTAAAAGGCCTTATGAGCAAATTCACTTTGGTTGTTCTTAAATAAAAGATTTGCCATATTCAAGTGCTTGTGTGTTTAATGTGTTTAAAAAGTTTTTTGCCATTTAATCAAAGGAGTAATGAACAGATCAATATTTGTTAGTAGCAACCCTAGTGTACTCCTACATGAACCTACCAAAAAAAAATCATGGTTTGCCAGGCTGTTATAAACTAAAAGGACATAATTTTTCTTCTAGTGAATCTTTTAAATATTACAATCCACTACAATCCACATTCATGGGTATTTAGGAAACTGATGTCCACAATCACTGATATATAAATGGAAATCTGACCACCTTGCTCAACTAGCAGTTCAGATTTGATGCGGTTCATCCTCTGGCACTCTCGGCCAGCCCGTTCAAGCTCACGCTGGCACTCCGTAAGTCTACGTTCCTTCTCCTTCACAGTCCTCTGGTGGTTCTGATACATGTCCTGCAGCTGATCATCTGAGCCCTGAAACACCTAAAACAGCACAATACAGAATCAGCGTTCCTCAATGAATGAACAAATGGTGTGGAACAAGGCTTTGTCTAAGGTCTCTTGTTTTTCTAGATATACACGCTCCCGTTGGGTGATATTTTAGTTTAACCTAATGATCGAATAATAGATAACTGTCTCTCTTCTTTAGTACAATTTTAAGAAATTAAATCGAGACATGACTCTGACTTAACTTGCATTGGAAGGTAAGCATGCAAAAGCAAAACCCTTGTTTCAACAACAAATGAAAAATGTCAGAAGTATACCAAAAAGCATCCATTACTGAACATCCTGTACATGTTTTCTATGCAAAACACTTCCTCTGCTTTCATACGATCATTATCTGGCATTTATGACTAATACTGATAGTAGTGAAACTTTCACAACTGATTTTTTTGTTTTTGTTTTTTAATAAACTTTGGTTACCTGCTCCATCTTTTCCTCTAGTTCCCGGTTATCATCCTCCATCTGTTTCTTCCTGCTGTCCAGAGCTTTGATGTCATTATCCAACTTCATCACTTTGCTGAGGCTGCTGTCTATGTCACACAGTCGATTCTGAAAATATGGAGAAGGTGTTTTTGAGTATACATAACATAACTGCATAAGTCTATGGGCTAAAATTCAACTGACGTGCAGTCACAGATATGCATTTTGACCATTTCACAAAAGCTCTGAACATGGCTCACCTATCTATTGCTTTTAACTCAATTGTTTCATAATGTGAAGCTTATGTTTTTGCACTGAAGTCATGTTCTGTTTGGTTCCAAAGTTTCAAATAAATAATAATTATATTAAATAAATTAATTAATTAAATGAGCTCTCACTGACCTTTCATTTGTAAATAGGGTTGCAAATTTCTGGAAACTTTCCAACAATTTCCAAATGTTTTTAGAACTTTTACAAAAAATCCTGTAAAGTTTCCAAAAATTCTGGAATTTTCCGCCTCTTTGCAACTCTATTTGTAAAGAATTAGCTGACCAGATTATTAAAAAACAGACATTATTAAGCATTTTTTTTTTTTAAATACATCAATATGTTAATTTAAAAAATATACATTTTGGAGATGAAAGTGCAGCCAAAGATACTGTGATATATGCCGCAACTAGGGTTGTAACGGTACACAGAAGTCAGGGTATCTCAGTTTTGGGGTCACGGTTTGATACGAGTTTGGTACAACAGGAAATGTATTTTTTCATTTATTTTGAACAGACAGTACTGCTACATACATGTAGCATGAACAGTTGTTTTTATTGATTTAAAGGGAAAACAGAATGGTCTGACTTTAGATTTGTGAAATTATGCTACATAAGGCATCTGCACAAAACAAAAACAGCAGACGGACTGAATGAAAATGCAAATCTATTCTCTGACAGCAGGTGGCGCTTATGGAACAGCAGTGATAGTTTCCTTGGTTACTGCTGTAAACAAAGCAGCTGCACTTATAAACACTACTTTAATATGCATTATATGGAGGTTAGAGGAAAAGAAAATGGCATCGAAACATTTCTAAAGACAGTCAGTTCCAACATATTTGTCTTCCTATATTTCGAGCATCGCAAACAGTGAGCTTGATCTGCCTCGTACAGAATTTTTCTCCTCTTTTACATACTTTACAGATAAAAATTCCACACAGACTACATTTTGGGAAATTATTGCAATGCAGTTTGAGAGCAATTCCGGAATAGAGATCGGCCAAAATAAAACAGTTCCAATTTATAGCTGGTCGACCAGTGCATTTCTAGAACCCGAAACTTTCCCAAACTGCTGATAAAAAAAAAAAAAAAGAAGGCGGTACTTCAAGCTCTTGCGTGCCATCTGAACTGCCATTCTTGTTTTGGGTTGGTGTGTAGATCGTCTCTTCTGCTCTTTCCTGTTGAGACGGTTAGCGTTGCATTACCGCGCGCCCCCTTCTGGATTGATTGCCTGTGACTGACTGTATTCATCGTCTGACTGCATGAACTGGGACGGTTTGGGACGAATACATGTACCGTTACACCCCTAGCAGTAACCGGTACCCTAATCTGCATTACAATCACCTATATTAAATACATTTTTAAATATTTATTATCCAAAACAATGAACTACCATAGACCTAAAAAAAAGAAAGAAAAAAAAATCTCATGGCATTTAATCTTTCGAGTCAGCCTAAAAATTGGTGTCACAAATTCTTTGTGTCTCACCTCCAGTGGGTCAATCTGACTCTCGATGCGTTGGACGCTCTCTTTAGAGGAAGACAGCTGAGCCTCTTTAGCGGACAGCAGCTCTCTAATCTCTTGGGCTTTATCTTTGTTCTGTTTCAGGTACTTGAGCTCCATCTGGCAGGTTTTGACAGTGCTGGTCTGCTTCATCCTCAGCACCCGCAGGGTCTCCAATACCTTTATGTACCTTCAAGCAAAGGTTTTGGTTATTTTCAGCCATTCATCTGTAATGCTACCTTAACATGCATAAAAGACAACATAGGACAAGCCAGTGTTCAAGAAAAGTAACTGAATAACTACAAATTTAGTTTAATAGGGTTTTAACATATAATTAATTTCAGTTAGGCTGGTCATCAATATATTTACAAAGACATAATTACACAAATTCACAAATTAATCAAAGAATGAATTGTTTCATTCACGTCCACTGTGTTTGTGTTTTTTATTTTTTAAACAAATCAGCTAAGTAAAGATTTAGTATCTCTCCAATAGCACATAAATAAACACTAATTTATCGCCACCTACTGGTGTAGGCCAATAGAGTCAAAGCTTTGTTGGCATGATTGTTGAGCATTTACAAAACATACTGTATATTGTGTAGATATTACAAGAAGAACCAATTTTCCTAGATATTTCGAGATAAAATGGCTGTTGAACACATACAGTAACTTAAAAAAAGTAATAAATAAAAATCCTGCCCAGTTAAAAAAAAAAAAAAAAAGCATTATTAAAACTAAGCACAAAAACGACTAGACATAAAAAAAGGAAGCAGTGGATGTAAAATGAAAAACTAAAATATGATGCAAATTGTGGACCTAAGGACCTAAAAATTACTGAAAAATGAAGCTTCAGTGAGAAATCTGTTGTCCAGATAAAGTACCTTGTGGCTGAGAAAATCTCATCAAACTTCTGCTTGAGGGCCTTTCCTTCACTGAGAGGCCAGTTGGACTCCTCTTGGTGGCAAAAGATGACATGGTTGATAACAGCCTTGGAGACGCCCAGAGCTGAGATCATCTCACGGTCCATTTCAGCACATTTAGAGCTCAGGCTCACTTTCTCTCCATGCCTGACAGCAAGAGAGGGCAAGACAAATTAATGTCAAATGATCAAATGTGGTCCTTCAAACAGGGACCATAATGTACATATTTCACAGGCCAAATGGGGGTAAAAAATTGGTAGACAAAAAAAAATATATATATTTTTTGATTAAATTACACATTAAATTGATCAAAAGTTATAGTAAAACATTTGTAATGTTACAAAATATTTATATTGCAAATAATTCTGTTTTTTTTTTTTTTATTTATTAAAGAATCCTGAAAAAAATGTATCACGGCTTCCACTAAAATATTAAGCAGCGTAACTGTTTTCATCATTGATAAAAATAACTTGAGTGCTTGAGTGGCATTCATGTGACACTGAAGACTGAAGTAAATCTTACGGACCCCAAATAGTAGTGTATGACACATGTTCAACCTACTTGACTCTTGTAATGACACCCTCAAGAGTTTTGAACTCCGTTTTCTTGCCCTTCTGTGTGCTTTGCATAGACCTCTGGACTGCCACAGGATCGCCATTCACGTCTCTAAACTGGAGTCTGATCTGTGCTCGTACATCTGTCTCATGAGCATCCTACAGCAGACCAACATTAGCGTTAACACGCTATAAAAACAGAGTGTCACCCTGCCCAGCTCTGCCAGTCCAATGTTCGCAAGTTTGCAAAAGTTGAATAAAGGCCCATTCACACAAAGGACAATAACTAAGTTATACAAAACTGCTCTAGTAAAAGAATATCAGAGTACACACCACAACTATAACGATAATGGCATAGAGGAATGGTATCGTTATAATCGCTTTCATTTTTTTTTTTTCCAGCTGAAAAAAACATTGACTGCCAATCAGAATCAATCCTGCTTTAAAGAGCTTGAGCATTTAGAGTGGCTGTTTATAATAAGCAGATCTTTATTGTGCATGGGCATGGATGCTAATATAGTTATAGTGGGAACGGGCCTTAAGCAGAGGCGGACAGTAACTAAGTACATTTACTTGAGTATTGTACTTAAGTACAGATATGCAAATTTGCAGTTTGTTTATTGCATTACTCCCGTCAAGCACCTACTTTGGGATCATGGACAAATGTGTTTCCTTTGCTTCCTGGTGGAAAGTCTCCTGAAGTGATGTACTTGAGACACTCAATGATGGTCTGCAAGAATAATTTAAATATAAACACAATATTTAATATATATATATATATATATTTTTTTTTTTTTTTTTAATGAAATTTGTAACTTCTGTTTCATGGGTTTAACAAAACAAGATAAATATCCCTGTGGAACTGCAGAAGAACCCCTTGGGGAACACGTACCCACAGTTTGGGATTATTGTTCTATTGTGTTAAAGGCTTTTAGTGGCCTTCAGCTTGAAATATGAGAAGCTGATCATTTACCGGAGTGACTTAAA